GCACCTCCACCACGCTCACTTCGCTGTCCCTGCTCCCAGCAGCGCGGCTCGGGCGTCCGCCGCCGGCATGGAGACTCGCCGCGTGCGGGTGAGGGCTGGGGGCGGCCCCGAGGGCGGGCGAGCTGGGTGCTGGGTGCTGGGTGCTGGATGCTGGGTGCTGAGTGCGAGCGGGGGCGGGCAGTCCCAAGCAATCTGCAGCCCCGGGTTGCTTATCAACTGGTGGCCGTCCTGGGCGTCGCCGGTTTGAGCAAGTCCCAGATTCTGTGCACTCAAGATTTTGGGCAACTCAGGACTCTAGGGTGTTTCCCGTCGGCGTGCCCGTGCTGCGAAGGGAGGAGAGCGGCTCGCGGTGGGGTGGCAGCGCCGGGGACCCCGGGCACGTGCGTCCGCTCTGCACGTGCGCGGACCAGGGGCCGCAGGGGGTGTCCCGGAGCCCGAGGCCGCCCCGCTCCCCGGCATCGTCCCGCTGCCGCAACGCCGCGCCAGCTGGGGCACAGCTTGCGCCCTTTGCGTGGCGCCCACGCGCGTAGTGGGTGCTCGGACGCAGAGCCCTGCGGCTGCTCCCAGCCTCCGAAGGTCTGGCAAACGCCTTTCTGCGGGGCGTGGGTTGTGCACCGTGGGGAGGAGGTGTATTTTTAGACCCACGCGGTACAGAGGCGCAGTTGAAGCCCAGGGTGATAGAAACCCTTCGCTACCACGGTCCAGGTCTACCCCACTCCCTCTCCCCCAGCCCTCCTCGCGCGCAGCTGCGAGTTGCCCAGATCAGAACATTACTCTTTGCTCTAACGGAAGCCAGAACTTGGGGCCTGCCCCTGAGAGGGGAGGAAAGTGGGGGTTGGGTGGAAAGGAAGAGAGTGATGTGCTTAAAAGTTATCAGAGCTTGGGGACTGACGTGGGGGAGGCTGGGCTGGCTGGGAGGGGCATGGTCTCAGAGCCCGGTCCCTACCGGGATGGAATGGGCTTTGGCTTCCAGCCTGCAGAAAACCAGGTGTTACCTGAGTGTAGGATACAGATCTGGCCCACAGTGTGACTCCAGCAATCCATTTCATCCCTTTGAACTTCAGTTTCCTCGTCTGTTAGGGAGTACCTTTGCTGCCAAGAATTAAACAGGATGTGAACGCATTTAACAGTGCCAGGCACATACATACACACACAAACCCCACTCTGAGCGGTATCGGTTACGCTTGACAAAAACTGTCATCTCAGTCGTGACCATTTGCTTTTCTTCTGTTTTCTCCAGGGATATGTTTGCCTGGTAAATAAGTTCACTTTGTGCTGACTTGCGAAAGTTCTCCATGTACTCCCCCCACAACTCGCCATAGAATGCCTCCCTTGAGGCTACCGTGGGCTCTGAAGCTCCAGGTAGATTGATGAGCAACAGGCAGGACTCCCTGCAATGCAAGAAGCACTGCTGTTTTTAGGAGGTTGCAGGCTAGAGTTCTTCCAGTCCTGTGGTTTTTTGTGCAGTCTATTTTTTCTTCCTGGGGGCTTGAATTTCCTCATCCAGAAAATGGTTCCTAAAAGGGCAGAAAGACAGATACTTCTTGAAGTTATTGGATGGCCTCTTAGGGACATAGGAAAGTTAGATTGACATCTTTGCACAAATAATTTTATTGTTAGTAAGAGACTGAAAGGCAGAATGTTAGGTGAAGAAGGAAATCAAGAACATTTTGCTCTTGGGACACTTTGTTTTCTAAGACCAAGAGCAGAACTTGCCTTTCAAAAGTTTTCAGTGAAAAGACTCACTGCTACTCCATGGCCCTATTTAAGGAAATAAAAATATAGGAATGAATGGAACATTTAAGAAATCTCATTAAGAAATGGCAGAAACCACTGTCCTTTTTACACAAGACAGATTCCAGTTGCATTTTCTTTTTTGTTTGTTTTTGTTTTGCTTTTTTTTCCCGGTACTGGGAATCGAACTCATGATCTTGCGCTTGCCAGGCAGGCTCTGTGCCACTAAGCATAATCCCCAGCCCCTCCAGTTGCATTTTCTGATGAGCAGTGCAGGACTGGTTAGTGTTTGAGTGAATGGAGAACATTTTTATATCTGCAAGTAATTTACACCTTATGAAAAAACTTGTAACAAAGTTGTCCTTTTGTTTTTCTGAGTACTGGGATCAAACCCAGGGCTTTGTGCATGGAATCCTTTACTACTGAGCAGCATTTCTGGCCCTAAAATATTTTAAGTCTTAGAGAGCTAGGGGCCTGTCAAGAGAGCTGAATGACAGGCATGGAGTGCTAAAGTAGAATCAAGTGTTCCTCCTGGTTTGGAGTGGTGTTTGATCTTTAACTTGTCTTTTCCCACGTTTGCTGGGCTGATGTGTGATTGGTAAGGATTTGTGCTGGAGTCACTATACCCCTCCTGACTGGAAGGCGCTGTGTTGGCTGTTTGGAAGCTCGCCACCTCTAAGTACACGTCCTGCCCAATTTTGGTAGTTGGGGAAATTAGCAACTCAGTACATAGTCCAAAGCTTACATAGAGACGTCTCAGCTTGATTTTGGCTGAGGGAGAAAGGAATTACTCTGCCATTTTCTACTTTTGAATTTTCCTTTTAAATGTACAGCATTTTTTTAAAAAGTGAAGTTAGATTTAAGGAGTTGAGCGTTGTATTCCTATGGAGTCCAGCATAATGCTAATAAGCACTTAGGGCCTCTTAAGGTAGGAAGAGAGGAAGCTTGGTAGATGTCGCAATAAATTGATAAATATCATTACATTTTTCATTTTCCAAAGGGATCTCTCTTAAAATTTGACCGGGGGGCTGGGGATATAGCTCAGTGGCATAAGTGCCTGCCTGGCAAGTGCAAGGTCCTGAGTTCGATTCCCAGCACCAAAAAAAATTTGATGGGGTTTAAAAAATTTTTTTGTAGCAATTGCACAGCTTCCTTTTTCTCTGTAAAGTATGAGAAATGAACATATCTACTCTGCTGCTTAAACTCAAGAAATGATGTCTTTAGGTAGCTAGTACCGTAAACATCCCACTTAATAGTATTGCCTTTTCCATTTACAGCAAAAGGCTCTCCGAGTAAAGAACGTAAAGAAATTCAGATACATGAAGTTGATTTCCATGGAAACATCGTCATCCTCTGATGACAGTTGTGACAGCTTTGCTTCTGATAATTTTGCAAACACGGTAAGTGCTGCCTGAGAATAAACAGAATTGAATCTGCAGTACTCAAAATGCCCCAAATGCTTTGTGCATGATTAAAACTGCTTGCTTTTTGCCTACATTTCTATACAGCCGTTATGAAAATACAGTATGCACTGTAATTTTATTTCACTTTTTGTGGTGGTTCTAGGTAGTAATTGTTGGAGGTAGATTAGCTACTTATTCTATCCTTTTGAAATGTCGCCTAACCTAACATGCCTGATGATTTGCCGTAACAACTCAGAAATCATTTGTAAACCTCTGAACCATTTTTCTTTGTAACAAAAGCTATTCTCTTGTAGTGCACTTGTAAATGTGATTTGCTCTCTGCACGGTTTATGGAAAATTGGTTCTTGAAAAAGCAAAAAAATGCGCAACCACATTTATTTATTTATTTTACAGAAACCTAAATTCAGGTCAGATATCAGTGAAGAACTGGCAAATGTTTTTTATGAGGACTCTGATAATGAATCTTTCTGCGGCTTTTCAGAAAGTGAGGTGCAAGATGTGTTAGACCATTGTGGATTTTTACAGAAACCAAGGCCAGATGTCACTAACGAACTGGCCAGTATTTTTCATGCCGACTCTGACGATGAATCATTTTGCGGTTTCTCAGAGAGTGAGATACAAGATGGAATGGTGAGTCTGAGAATTTCACCAGTTTCAAGAAGTAAGGTGCATTTAAGGCATGACACGGTTTTTGCAAAAAAAATTTTTCTATTTTTGTGTTTTAGTCATGCCAGAGAAGTTGTTGACCATTTAAAAATTTTGAATATTATCTTGGAGCACTTTTTACTACTGTAGCTCTATTTGTAGATTGCAAACATTCTGTAGGTTCTGAAAATCGTGGAAACTAGTACAATAAAGTTGACCAAAGTACAGATTTCCATGATTACAACAGAAATCCAGCTTTATGAAAGGAAACACACACAGCCTAAAGATGAGTTGCACTGGTGCGTGTGTGTGCGCGTGTGCGCACACAGGTGCCCAGCCTGGTGTCTGGTGAACAGCTGGCCTTTGATAAAGGCTGGTTTCCAGACTTAGCTCTGTCCCTGCATCCTGGGAGACTTCCTGGGCAGGAGCTTAGTGCACACAAGGGTTAAGTAAGGCCCTTCCTGCTGATTCTGTCTGCTCTTTCTGCTTTTCCTGTGCATGTGCCCTCCCCTTTCAATCAACTGTTACCTTGCTGAGGCTGCTGCTGCTGCTGCTGCTGCTGCTGCTGCTGCTGCTGCTGCTACTACAATTGCCCCACTCCTGAGCACACGCCTAGTTCTGCAGGCCTGTTCTTGCCCCAGACTTTCTGCAAGGGAAGCATGTGTTCGCTGCCGGCGGGTGCATGCCTTCACTCACTGGTACAGCACAGCTCCACTCCTGGGGCCATGGCTTGGGTAACGTATGTAAGTGGTAACCCCGGGCCTGGGAGCACTTAGCTCCAGGTTACAGTGGCTTCCTCTGATACCTGAGACCGGCCCCAGTGGGAGCTTACTGTGGTGGTCAGTCTGCAAATCTGGATGTGACCTTTTGTCAGTAGCCCGAACAATTACTGGGCAGTGATTTAGGTTTTTGTAGATACTGTGCTTTACGATTAATAAAATGCGAGTTGATTAAAAGTGCAAAGAATCCATAAAAGTTATTTGTTGTTTCCCGTAGACACGAAAAGTACATGAATGGTACCAAAAGCCATGGGGATTTAAGAAATATTTGTTTATTCATTTATTCACGCTGGGGGTCAAATCCAGGGCCTCATGACTGGTAAGCACATATTACACCACAGCGCTACACCTCCAGCCTATTAAGAAATTTTTGAGCTGGGCGTGGTGGTACACGCCTGGAGTCCCAGCACTTGGGAGTCTGAGGCAGGAGGATCGTTGTGAGTTTGAGGCCAGCCTGGGCTACAAAGTGAGCTCAAGGCCAGCCTGAACTGCAGTGAGACCCTGTCTCAAAAAGACAAAAAAAAAAAAAAATTTTTTTTGAATATTAAAAATGAGTTCCAACCTAAATATGGTGGCTCATGCTTGTAATTCCAGCTCTGGGAGGCTGAGGCAGGAAGGTTGCAAATTTGAGCCCATGCCTGGGCAACTTAGTAACCTAGCAAGACCCTTGCTCAAAAGAACTGGGATGTAGCTCATTCAGAGGCCCTGAGTTCAATCCCCAGATCCCCCAAAAAGGGAAAGGAAAATGGGTCTTTCTGGGACTTCATGGAGGATATTTTTTTCTCCAGTGGCTTGGAACAGTGTGTCCAGATGGGCTGCCTGGTGTCACAGTACATTCAGAGTATTGTATTTACTTGCAAGTCTTGATTCTGTTAGCCCAGGTGATGAGTTACCCAGGTGGGGTTAAAATTCCTTTGCTAAAGTGTCTTTTGTACAAGAGGGATTTTCGTAGTCAAATTAGTGAAGCTTATCTTCCATCAGCAAGTCCCTAACGAGGCAATTGCTCTGATTGACCAGAGGCTGCAGGCAGCCCGGGAGGGATGCAGGACACGCAGCCAGGGCAGACCCTCCGGCCCTCTCAGAGTGGCCATGAAGTTTCCAGTGCGGGTGCGCAGCACCAGGAGCGCAGCCAGCAAAAAGCCAGCGCCCCCACAACGCTCAGAGAATTCTGCCATCGATTCCAACTCCGATTCAGAAGATGAAAGCGGCATGAACTTTCTAGAAAAAAGGGCCTTAAATATAAAGCAAAACAAAGCCATGGTAAGTATCTGTCTTTGAATCGACTCTTCTCAGCTTTTCCCTAAGCAAGTTGTTAGCTTACATCTGTATCCTAAGAATGATTTCTGTGCAGCTTTGAAGACTTCATAATATGTACTTCAAATGCCTTTCTTGGAGCTGAGTGTAGCTCAGTGGTAGAGCGTGTGCTTCTCGATCTTGGGTTCAATCCATAGCATCAAACAAAAAGCATTTCTTTCCCTAAACTTTGCTTTTTAAAATACATGTTAAAGACTTGGTTAAGCACAGAGGAGAAATCAGAAACTCTTTTGGATGTGTCCGCTTATTAAAGCTGTGAGATGTGCCGGTGTAACCACTAATTTTTATGTAACTTTTTTCCTTTTTAGCTTGCAAAACTCATGTCAGAGTTAGAAAGTTTTCCTGGCTCATTCTCTGGAAGACCTTCTCTCCCGGGCCCCAGATCAGTAAGTGTGTATGATTCCTTGTTTGTATGGCATTGTTTTGGGCAAGCCTAGAGGTGACTTATGACGCAGTCCAGGCTGGCCTCTAACTTGAGGTGATCGTCCTGCCTCAGTCTCCTGAGTACTGTATTGTAGATGTATACTACCACGCCTAGGCTTTCAAAACGTTAGTATTTCTGTTCTTCCCAGCTAGGCTTGGCCAAGATCGAAGACTTGGTTTCTGTGTAGAGCCTTACCATGTTTATTCTGCATGGGAGATGTGTAGTAAATCGGAGAATCAGGAAAGCAATTTCTTTACCAGGTTATGGCCTGATATCATAGATGAGTATGTTCTGAGAAGCCAGACTGGAGTGCAGAGAGGAATTTGGTGGCTGTGCCGTGGTACAAAAGGAAAGCCCGCTCAGTCCTGTCCCTGCCCCTTCCCCCAGGAGCTGGACGGAAGCCAGCCAAGCAGGGAGGAGGGAAAGCCAGGCTTTATTTTGTGCAATATAAAAACAGTGTGTGTGAGTCTAGGGCTCAAGAGGTGCAATAGAAAGTTTTCTGGAACAAGAAGTCAGATTGTACATCTTCATTAAGTAGAAGAAGAAATAACCAATTTGAGAGAACCTGGGCTCTGTTTTACAAAATTACAGTTGGGGGGGCTCACTTTCTATGCATTATAAAAAAGACAAAATGAGAAAATGAAGCTCTCTTTTTACTTACAAGGAAACTCCTTGAGGAAAAGATGTAAATGTTCCTAAGTACTGCTTCTCTTTGTTATGAAATAAACAGGTTCCACCCGGTTTTGTTCAGCAGGCAAAGACGCCCCGAAGGCGGACATTCCCAGGTGTGGCTTCCAGGAGGAACCCGGAGCGGAGAGCCCGGCCCCTTACCAGGTCCAGGTCTCGGATCCTGGGGTCCCTGAGCGCTCTCCCCGCTGAGGAGGAAGAGGAGGAGGACGACAAGTACATGCTTGTGAGAAAAAGGAAGGCCTTGGACATACTGGTACTTCGTCTTTTGGCCCAGCATCGCGTATACACACCCTCAGCATCCAGGGAACCGTTTGGAACTGTTAATGTCACATAAACTTAATTTGATTTTTTTTGTTGTTCTTCTGGGGTTGAACCCAGGGTCTTCATATTAAGCCACATCCCAGCCCTGTTTCAGTTTTTATTCTAAGATAGAGTCTTGCTAGGTTGCCCAGGCTGGGCTCAGATTTTTGATTCTCCTTCCTCAGCCTCCCAGAATGCTGGTATTTGGTTTTGTTAGGTTTTCTTCAGCTTTTCTCAATTGTAGGAGTCATTTCCATAATGTCATCCAGTCATCCTCACAATACACTTACGACTTCCTTCCCCCTTTTCCATAAGCAAGTGAAATCTCCAGGTTGAATTTTCTGGGAAGACATTACAAGTCAGGTATCTGAGGTTCAAAACTGGGGGGGAGCCAATAAGGAGCCCTGTCTCATGCTTCTCATCACACAGGATGATGACATACCCAGAAGTCGTCGCCCAGGATCCATGACCCTTCCCCATGTCATTCGTCCGGTAGAAGAAATCACAGAGGACGAGTTGGAGAACATCTGCAGCAACTCCCGAGAGAAGATCTATAACCGCTCACTGGTGAGAGCTCTGAGGTTCTGTCTAGAGATGCAAACAGCGCAGGGGAGACAGCCTCTAGCCCCGCAGTGTTGAAGTGTTTAAAGGTCGGGGCGGAAGGGGAGGTACCGGCGCTTTTCCACACAAGGAAAGGGTTTTTACTGTCCCTAGCCTGGAGACCTGTGTTGCTTGAACTACCTGCTTAGTAAGTCCACAGGAATAGTAAACCTTTTTTTCTAATTTAGGAATGAATTCATTTAACATGTTTCTTGTGGACCTAGTGTGTGCATGTACATAGATACAGTGGTGTATGAAAGAGAAAAATGGATTGGGCTGAGTTTTGTGTGCTGGCATTGAACTCGGCGTCGCACATACCAGGCAAGAGCTCTGCTACGGAGCTGAACATGGGCACTGTTCCGCTGAGCGCAGTCATCTAGCGTCTAGGCTTCCTATGCAGAGCCATGTACCCAAGTGCGGCGATAGGAAATAAGATTCAGAGGAAATGTCACACTCACACTTGCCCAAGACATTCTTTAGATGCGCCATTTCTCTCCACAAAAAAGCAACAGCCCTGAGGTTTGTCCTTATTTACTGTTTATTTATTTGTAGGGGTCTACTTGCCATCAGTGCCGTCAGAAAACCATTGATACCAAAACAAACTGCAGAAACCCAGAATGCTGGGGCATTCGAGGCCAGTTCTGTGGCCCCTGCCTTCGAAATCGCTATGGTGAGGAGGTCAGGGACGCGCTGCTGGACCCGGTAGGTGCCTCAAAGGAAGAGGGTCTTGGGGGCTCAGCCATAGCTGACCTAGGGAGAGACACAGAGCTCTTTGTGTTAGGAGGTGCTCGGGCCTGGGGAGAGCAGGTGAATTCACAGTGTTGGGGCGCACAGGCGCCCTGCCCGGGGTGTGCAGAACTTGGGTTTCAGGGTGCTTTTCACCCTTCCCCTGCAGGACTGGCACTGCCCACCGTGTCGCGGGATCTGTAACTGCAGTTTCTGTCGCCAGCGAGATGGACGGTGTGCAACTGGGGTCCTTGTGTATTTAGCCAAGTATCACGGCTTTGGGAATGTGCATGCTTACTTGAAGAGGTAACAGGCGTTTTCTCTCTTCCACATCTGAATCTCACCTTCATTTATGCACTTAATAAAAAGATAATAAAAGTCAGAATCGTGTTATCTCTAGGGCAGGGGGTAGTGGTGAGTACTGACTGGAAGGGGCACGTGGGAGAGTTGGAAACGCTTTTTCATTGGAGGGGTGGTGGCCAGGTAGATGCGCGTGTAAAATTCAGGTTGTACGCTTGATGCGTGCATTTGCCCATGTGCATGTAATGACTCAGTAAAAACATTGTTTAGAAAATTAAGCCAGGCATGGTGGTGCACTCCTGTCATTCCCGCGCTCTGGGAGGCAGACAGGAGGATTACAAATTCTACCCCTGTGCTGGACGTGGCGGCACACGCCTGTAATCCCAGCCCTTGCCATGCTGAGGCAAGAGAATTGCTGTGAGTTCAAGGCCAGCCTAGAATGTATAGCAAAATGCTGCCTCAAAAAACAAACAAACAAAGAAACCCAGAAAACAAAAAACACCAAGTTCCAGCCCAGCCTGGGCAATTTAGTGACTTAATGAGATCCTATCATAAAATAAGAATTTTTAATAAGGTTGGGAATGTAGCTCAGTGCAAAGGGTCTGGGTCTAGTCCTCAATGTTTGCGGGGTGGGAAGTGGTATTTGGCTTTCAAAAGAGAATTCATAAGTCGGAAATGAAATCCTAACATGTTTTTTCTCTTCCACAGTCTGAAACAGGAGTTTGAAATGCAAGTACATAACACCTAGAAGATTGCTGTCTGCCTTCCACTTCGCGCACCTTCCTAGCTGAAGTTTCCAGTTCTGTCACTGATTGAAACCTGAGTTAAGAATCGTGATTGGTCAGTTTTATAGGACACTCAGATCAGGTTGACCCCATTAGGCTTGCAGGTGCTTCTAGAACTTCATGGAAGGCGGTTTGCTAGCGATGCCTTGCTCTCTTGCCACTTCTCTGGTCCCCTGCCCCCACCTCAGTCCCCTCTGTTGCCATGGTTTCCTCCTACCACTTAAGTTTCCGAATTCTTTGTATCTCTTAATTGGTGTGTATGTGTGTGTATGGTGCTAGGGGTGGAATCCAGGGCCTTGTGTGTGCTAGGTAAGTGCTGTCCCGCGAGCTGTATCCCCAGCCCACAAATTCCTTTTAAAGAACGATTTGTGAGTGTCTTCTGATTCAATTCTTGTTGAAGTAGCCCTGGAACCTTCCCATAAACCCAAGCACTTAGAAGCATAGAAGTGTTAACTCATTGTTCTGTTGAATTCCACAGATTACATTTCTAACTTGTTCACACAGAAACAAGGGGTATAATTGAGGGTTCACACTGATTGACTTTTTAGCAGAATCAAGGCATCTAAGTCTTCAAACTGTGTGGAAAAGTTAGGTAATTGTTGCAAAGTGTGGCGTATTTCTTCAGATGCCTCTCAGGAGAACGGAGAACGCTCCACTATTGTGACTTGGTTGCTGAGGTTAAGTGGTTCACACCGTCATCCTGAGGTCTGTGGGAAGCATTGTGCTATGCTACTTAAAATTACTGTGGAGAAGACACTTCTGGGGAATTGGGATGGTGAAAAAGTTCAGGAATAGGCTGGTGCGCATCCTTTGCATAAAAGTTTAGAATCATGGTATTAATGACTAGTCTGGATTTTTGCAGTGTCTTAAAATGATCCCTGCCAGTTGCTGTGTATGGGGTTCAGGTTTTAAGCACTTTTTTAACAGTAAGTGCCTTTTTGGAGATGGTACCTTTCAAGTTTGTTAACATGATGTCTCTCAGTTTTGTCTCAGGGCCTATTTCGTACATCACCCCTCCCCTCCCCTCTTGTATTACGCCAATCCCCAGGGTCCTGTCTACCTGCACGTGTAGCTGTTGCTCTGCCTGTTGAGTGACAGCTAATTAGACCTTTGGACAATAACTGTAAATACTGCTTTTGATCTGTAATGCTCTTTCACACGAAGGTTTTTATTTTAATAATAAAACATTTTTGTTCAAACTTGTTTGCTTTTTAGAATATCAGATCTTACCGTCTATTTTTTTCCTTGTATTTCAATAGAAGACCATTTGTGCCTTTTCTGTAGGTTTCCCTTTTGTCTTCAGTTTCTGAAGGTCCAGGGCCAGCTCTGGAACAGTGTCCCATTGGTGAAGTGACTAATAGCTTTAATCAGAAAAGAGTAATTCGGTCACATCACCCAGTGGAACAGAACATGGTGAGTTGTCGTTAGCAGCCCCAAGAGCTAATGGTGATTTTGCAATGGTTGGCTACTCTTACATTCAACTATTTATTAGATGCATGCTGTTCTTAGAGGCCCATTTCAGGACTGGGAGAACCTGAAGGTGTACTGTAAAGGCTCTTAAAACCCAAGAGACAGGATCTCACTGGCCTTGAATTACTTCTGTAGCCCAGGTTGACCTCAGAATTCATGGTGATCTTCTTGCCTCAGCCTCCTGAGTGCTGGGATTACAGGATCACAATGCTGGTATTAGCCAGGCATGGTGGCGCATGCCTGTAATCCCAGCACTCGGGAGGCTGAGGCAGGAAGGTCGTTGGAAATTCGAGACCAGCCTGGGTTACAAAGTGAGCTCAAGGTCACTCTAGACAGCATAGCAAGACCTTGTCTTGAAAAAACAAAAACCACAGTGCTGGGATTAACCCAGCTCTTTAGGCCAGGGCCTGCAAGTGGCAGCCTGCAGGCCAACTCCTGCTGTAGCCTATATTATGTGGTGTGTATGAACATTTTCTTTTACACATTTTTAAAAGTTTTTTAAAAGCGTGTGACAGCATGGTTCATAAAACCTAAAGTATTTACAGTGTGGCTGTAAACTACAGAAAGTTTGCAGTGTTCTACACCAAACTTACTGGGAAGCCATGTTACTTGGAGGGAGAAACCCCACCGAGAGCACTGGGCACAGCTGGTGTACGACATATGTATGTATATGACTAATTCAGCCTTGTTAGGTGTATACTGTAATTGAAAAGTTTATTAGGTAGATGATCAAACCAGGGTATTGCACACGCTAAGCACATACTTTTCCACAGAGCTGCATCTGTCCTGTTACTAGAAAATTCTTGGTGTTAGATCTAGTTTGGTTTTCCTTACAAATCCTGGGCTTGTGGCTTATGCTTGTCATTCCAACATTCTGAGAGGCTGAGGCAGGAGAGTCACAAGTTCAAACTCAGCTTGGGTGACTCAGAGAAGCCCTGTCTCAAAAAAGTAAAGGGCTAGGGCTGTAGCTTAGTGTGAAAGCCCTGAATTCAAATCCCCAGTACCACAGGAAAAAAGGGAACAGTTGATTATGACGCCGTATCTTAAAGGGAGTCACAGTAGTGGCCTGAACTAAGCTAAAAACCTAAAAATGATACCCTCAGGAATACGGGCAGAGAAGAAGCAAACTTGTTTCTTATTAACAGACTTTTGATTTTTAAAAAAAAAATCAATACGAGAGTAGCAATGTTTAATACATTGTATAGTGTTACTTTTGAAGTAGTTACACAGTATAAGATACAGGCATGAAAAATTGTCCAAACAATATTAGCACAAACCTTTCTTTCCAATGAACTAAGAGAAATTAGTATACCTGTCTTAACTACCTTGTACGTATATATATTTTTCCTTTTCTCCTTTCCCCTATCCCCGTTTCTCTTTTACACTTTTGAAATCATGTGATTGGTTTCTTTTTTGGGGATGAGGTCTTACTATGTTGCTTAGCCTGGCCTCAACCTCCTGGACTTGGGATCCTCCTGTCTCAGTCTCTTGAGTAATTGGATACACCTGGCCTGCTCCCTGGATTTTTGTCGTGACTCCCATTTTATGATAAGGATCTTAGGTGTATGGTCTCAGCAGAGCTCTCCATACCATCCTTGGTTGCAGAATTAGAGTTTGGACAAGTGGATGTGAAAAGCCGTTATGGTAGGTGTGGTGGTACATGCCTATAATCTCAGCACTCAGAAGGCTGAGGCTGGAGGCTTGCTGTGAGTTCAAGGCCAGCCTGAACTATATGGTGAGACCCTATATCAACCAAAAAAGAAAAAATAGTGTATCTTGGGGACATACTCTTCTACTGAGGTCCTGAGGTTGGAGTGGTAGCAATGCTTCCACCCACGGTGACTAGGGCTGCCCAGATGAGCTTTTCACAATGAGGAGGGGCAGAGGCAGGGACTGGAGCTGCAAGGGGCATTAATTTGCTTTTAGAAGAAAAGGGAGAGTAAGTGCCTGATGGATTGAGGTCTAGGGGGAAATAGGGTCATTTGCACACTGGTAGAACAGAACTAAAGCTCAGTGCTTCTGGAGAGGGAGGTGGAGGGAGTGCAGTATTAGGTCCTTGGAGGGAAGAGAGAGCAAGTCCTGAGCGCATGAAAAGTGAGCATGGGTTGTTTTATGTGAATGTTAGCCGTGCATTTATCGGGTACTCCAGGAGGAAGAAGTAAACCCAGAAAGGTTGAGGAGGATGCCCATCAGCGCCAGCTGGAGTGACAGCCACGCTGCACTGAACAGGGTGCAAGGGAGAGCGTGCTTAGTGAGACTGCGGAATACAGGGCTTTCAGCTGCTGGCCAGCCCCGCCTAAGAAGCTTTCACTGCAGGCTCGAAAATCCTGTAAGCAGGAGAGGACTTCTTAGCGATTCACAAGATTGGGGAAGGAGGGACAGAAGCAGAGACTACGGGACACTGCTGCTCTGAGTAACCTAGGAGCTGGCGTGGAGCAGGAGCCGGGACCTGAGGCTGTGTGAAGAGAGGCCCCTTGGTCCCAGGCAAAGTGACCGGTTCCAGGGAGAGGCCTTGATTGAGTGAAATATCCCGGTGATGAAAGCTTCTGGAGCAAGAGCAAGGAACAAAGGCGATGCCACTCAAAGGAAGAGGCCACTGATGTCAGTGTATAGATGTGTGTCGGTAACCACAGCTACTTAGGAGGCCGAGGCAAGAGGATCAGAAGTTCAAGGCCAACCTGGGTAATTTAGCAGGAACTTATGTCTAAATAAAAATAAAAGAGGTTGGGTTTATAGTTTATTGGCAGTCCCTCTGGGTTCAATCCCCACTCTTGGTGGGAGGACCACTAATATTTTAAGTTTTTTCCCGTGTCCTTGTTTCTTTTTTTTTTTTTTTCATAACAGGAATTGAATTCAGCCCTTCATACTGAGTTGCAACTCTAGCACTTTTTAAAAAATAAAAGTTTTTTAGATAGGATCAAATGCAGTTGCCCAACCTGGGCCAGAACTTGTGGTCCTCCTGCCTCAGGCTCCCAGGCATGCATTGTAAGGCGGATAGATATTAGTGGGCCTGAAGGACAGATGGGGTGGAGAAGTCCAAAACAGCATGCACTGGCGGTTCAGTAAGGAAGCAAACACATCAGTGTGTAATGTGTTTATAATCATTTGTTGGGTCTCAAACCTACCACGATGATCCCATCCATCACAGAGACATGCACAGTTCTGACACCTGGCCGGCCAGTTCCACAGCAAGGTGCACCGCATTCCTGGCTGCCTTAGTCTACAGCCCAGTGATAGCAGGTGAGGAGAGGTTCTTTAGGGCCTCCTGCCTTGGGCTGGGCCTGGCTTAAATTAAGAATTTATCTTTTGTAAGTTTCTTACATGGATAAAGCCCCAGAAGGCACATGGACCATCTAACAGGACAGGAAGATGTTTTGCCATTCCAATGTAACTTCTAAGTAAAATGTTTGTAAGCTTCATAATCACCTCGGTCCCCCAGACCCCAGGAGTGATTCTTGGGTGCATAAAAATGTATCCAAACTCCCATTATGGACACTGCCTTTGCACACTGCCCACGTCCTCCCTCGATACCCTTTACTCCCACTTTACAGTAATTCTACCTATTCTTCTGACAGCCTGTGTCTTGACTGACTTCTTTCATCAAGGGCCCAAAATAACCAGTGACCAAGTCCTTGCTGCATCAGGATGTAGCTTCCTGGTGACACCACCACCAAGCCCAGCTTTTTTTTTTCCCCTCCCATGGTGCTGGCGATTAAATCCAGGGCCTCCCACATGCATGTTAGGCGTATACTGTACCATTGAGCTCTATTCCCAGCCTCCATGTGCTTCTTGTTTGTTTCTTGGTTTTGAGATAGAGTCTTGCTATCTGGTTAAGGCTCACTTTGAACTCACTATGGAGCCCAGGCAGGCCTTAAACTTGCAGTGATCCTCCTGCCTCAGCCTTCTGAGTGCTAGGTGATGGGCACATACCACCATGCTCGTGTGTTCTGTTTCACGAGGTAGTATTTATATTACTATGTAAAACTTCTTCAGCACTAAGGTTAGTGTCCCCACTGATGGTTGACAGCATCTTTTTGTTTTCTGGCAGCACGAGATATGCAGGCTCATTGTATGTCCTTTCAGCCCCTAACCTGGAATCAGCTAAAGGGCTTCATTTTCAAACCATATTCCTTTCTCTCAATCTATTATTTATCCATTTGTTCATATATGTGCCGATACACACATACATACATCTGCTTATATACTAGTATTTATATAGAGTCCACCAAAAACATGTATACACATACAAACAGTTCATATAGTAATAAATGTCTGGAAGCCAAGGGCCACCTCTATGAGCACCTTTTGTAATGAGTGGTCAAAGGTAACGTATTAATCTTATGTCTCAATAAATTTAATATTAAAATATTTGTACAAACTTTCCCTGGTGTATACATTTTTGGGCAGACTATATGAATATATTAATAACAGCAGTATTGTTACATATACATGTATGATTTCATAACTATAATTGCAATATTACTGAAAACAGTTTGCAAGTGTTTTTGTTTTTTGTTCTTAGTATAAATTCTAGATACAGTTAACTTACTGTGTTTCAAAACCACTCTTGGGGCTGGGGATTTAGCTCAGCGGCAAAGCGCCTGCCTGGCAAGCGCAAGGTCATGAGTTCAGTTCCCGGTACCGGAGAAAAACCAAAAAAAAAAAAAAAAAAAAACCGCTCTAAACAGTTTCTTTTTATGTTAAACCAACTTGATAAATGATTAGATTC